TATTCGTTTGCCCTTTTATACTCCTTTCTGCCGATTTTGGCGGCGCTAAAATCGGCGGCGCGTGGCGGGGCGGCGCGTGGCGGGGTGGCGCGCTTGCGCCCCTCGGCGCGGTACGGCGCACGCCGTGTAGCCGGCTTCGGCCGGTTCCGCGGGGTTTCGGCGCGGGTCGTCGACCGGCGGGTGCTTGGGTGATCAGGCGGCGGGCGCACGGTGCCCGCCCTTCGCCGGATCGTTTGATCGGCGGCATCCGGCGGTCTTAGCCGGGGAACGATGCGACTTCGGGGTGCATCGTTACATGTTTATTTAATAATAAAAATCTACTCGTGTAAATATTAAAATTAATGTTTATTAAGTAATAAAAAAATATTTTTTTAAATGTAAAATAAATATTTTTTACATGAGAAAAAGGGACTTATCCCATTATTTAAATGTTTTTTTTAATGTTTCAAAAAATGTTTTTCAAACATTTAAAAAAATATTTTTTAAACATCATTTTGTTGATTGGGAAGTGACAATTCTAATTATTATTTTTTTGTTTCTGGTATAAAGACGACCAGCGCTCTCTTCATTTTTGTGCGTACTTTCATTCTGCGCAAGAATTTTTCAATTCTGTAAAGCCAATTAAAAGTTATACTAATAGAAAAAAGTGTCGGTATAGTTATAGTCACTCCAGCATCCCCTTAAATGCAAACTGTCAAAACCGCGAGTCGAAGAGAATCGACTCGCAACAAGATCGAAATCGAGTTTCGAGAGAGCCAATCGGCATCGCGGAAAAGCGACAACAATGAACTCGCAATGCCTTTTTTAGATAGGGACTAGAACACTACATTGCGCGCGCGTAGCGCGCGCCATTTTTCACTTTTTTATGTATATAATAATAATAAATACGAAAATTAATGTATTTAAATTAATATAGAAATTTAAAAGCTGATATAAAGAGACACAGCAGTGTCTATATAATATAAATAATAATATATAATATATAGAAAAATATATATAATATACAATAATATTTAACAATATTAAATATATATTTTATATTATTTTTATATTATTTGTAACTTTTCAATTACTTAATTATTTATCTGTATTTTTTTGTCTTTAAGAATCAATTGCAATAAATAGCTGTTAAAAGTTCAACGTCTCTTTTGCTCGATCTTTCAACTTCGAATCTCCAAGACCTCAGTTATATAATAGGATAAGATCAAAGCGAAAATTTTCATAATCTATTGTATATTAAAATCACTTTTAATATATTAGGATTAAGTCAAAGCAAAATTAAATTTTCAATAAAACAATCCAAACTAATTTTAATTTAATTAATAGAATTGAAATTAATAAGTAATTTGATATTTTTATTTTAAAAAATGTATAAAAAATGGTAATACTTATACTTCTTGTCTTTATATCTTCTTATTATCTTTCCTTTATCTCTTTCTCTATTTCTGTCTTCTCTTTTCTCCCTTGTTCTTAATTCTTTCACTTTCTCTCACTCTCTTTTTTGTTCTTAATAAAATTCTTCCTTCCTTTAAATCGAATTCAGTCAATGTAAGTTTAATTTCAGTTGAAAACTAATTTTAATTGAATAATTTTCATCAAATTCAATTTTAGTAAAGTATAAACATTTTTGGCAATATAAAGTAATATAATTAAGACAAATAATTTTTCCAATTGTATTACTTGACAAAACATTGTAGTAAATTATTGTTTATATTTAAAACCATTTAGTAGAGATCATTACATAATTTTTCACACCTAAGAAAAACACAGATCAAAGACCTGAACTTTCTGTATCAATTATTACCTCTTGTTCTTTCTTTTTACAAGTTTCTTTATAAATTACTTTGCAAGAAAATATTTTTCACTATCATTTCCACACCACCTTGTGGTAGATAGCATGGCGCGTTTTTTTAAAAAGTGGTTTCTCCTGTAGACCTAATCCACTCTCATAATTTAATGCGTTATTCAAAGTGTTTTCCCGGCAAATAGGAACAGGCTTGAAATTTAGAAGAATAATTTCAGGCCCATTTCTTAACCAAAATACATTCTCGGAGGGCCGTATCCTTAACATATCATGGAAGCAGGTAGCGTTCTAGTACCTGCTTCCACCACTTATAAACTCCATGCAATGGATAGGAGTAGATCTCGTATCTGTTTTGCAACCTAAGTGACAAATTCAGAAGCGACTGAGCCCTCTCGCCCA